AAGAGTTCTTTGCCTGACCAATATCTTGCAGGGATTCTCCAATTTTCTCTAATAATTTGATGGTATTAGGTCATAGATTTAGCTCTTTAATTCATTTGGAATGTATTTTCGTGTAAGGTATAAAGGTAGGGTTCTTGATTCATACTTCTGTTTGTGGAAATCCAGTTTTCCCAGCACCATTTATTGAAGAGACTGTCCTTGCTCCAGGGGCTGGTTTTAGCTCCTTGATCAAATATAAGCTGGTTGTAGATTCTTGGATTAATTTCTGACATTTTTAGTCTATTTCATTTGTCTATCCATCTGTTTTTGTACCAGTATCAGACTGTTTTGATTATAACTGTAGTGTTTCTTGATATCTACTATTGTGATGCCTCTGGCTTTGTTTTTGTTGCATAAAATTGCTTTAGCAATTCAAGGTCTCCTATATTTCTATATGAATTTCAGCATCCTTTTTTCTAGATCTGAGAAGAATGTCTTTGATATGTTTATTGGTGTCATGTTGAATCTGTAAATTGCTTTTGGAAGAATGGACATTTTGTTGGTATTGATTCTTCCAATCCATAATCATGGAGGATTTTCCATTTTTTGTATCTTCTTCTATTTCTTTCTTGAATCTTTATAATTCTCATCATAGAGAACTTTGACATCCCTGGTTAAATTTATTCCAAGGTTTTTTTAATTTTTTTTATATGTGTGGCTATTATGAATGGGATTGATCTTAAAAACTCAATCTCAGCCATGACGTTGTCTGTATATACAAAGGCTATTGATTTTTGTGTATTGATTTTATATCCTGTTACTTTATGAAACTCTTCTACAAGTTCCAATATCTCTTGGTGGAGACTATATATTTAGATTGGACCATTTGGTTTATAGTGTTAATTTACTCTACTGTTTCCTTGCTGATTTTTTGTCTGGTTGATCTGTCCATTGCTGAAAGTGTGGTATTGAAATCCCCCATTACTGTTGTATTTGAGTCTAGAACCCCCTTTAGATCCCTTAACATTTCTTTTAAATATCCAGGTGTCCTGTAATTAGATGCATATACATTTAACATAGTAACATCTTCCTGTTGAGTTGATCTCTTAATTATTACATAGTGTCCTACTTTGTTTCTTTTAACAGTTTTTTGTGTAGTGTATATTTTGTCTGATGTTGGGATGGCTATACCAGCTCTTTTTTGGTTTCTGTTAGCATGGAATATCTTTTTCCAGCTTTTCACTTTCAGTCTTCCTGCATCTTTGTTAGTGAGATATGTTTCCTGTAGGCAGCAAATCAATGGGTATTGTTTTTTAATCCATTCAGCCTGTCTGTGCCTTTTCACTGGAAAGTTGAGGCCATTTACATTCAAGTTGACTATTGATAAATAACAACCTTGCCCTGCCATTTTTCCATAAATATTCCTATTGTTGACTTTATATTTACTTTGTACTTTTACTGGGAGATGTCCTTCCTTTACCTTCTTCTGTAGTGATGAACATGTTTTGTGTTTCTGTGTGCAGAACATCCATAAGCATCTTCTGCAGGGCTATATGGGTGGTGACAAATTCTTTCAATTTCTGTAAGTAGAGCTGAGACTGGAACCCAGGCACTCTGATATGTGACATAAGCATCTAAAGGGGCATCTTAATTGCTATACTATATATGGGCTCATAGGCTCTTTATTTTTTGAAAAATATCTGTTCTGTAATTTTACTGGCAAAGTCAGATTTCAAGGTTAAAGAAACTGATAAACCCAGCTTATTGCTGGAAGACATTAATTTCATTTAACTTTCATCAAAATTAATGTTATTTGCATACTTTCAGATTCCATCTTCATAATGTTATATTATGTAGATAGTTAAGTTATGGGTTTTTATTCTGATTTTGTGCTTAATGTATCTGACTTTAATGATTACTGACACTTTCTTTGCTTGGTTCTAATAAAATTCCACTACAGGAGCTATGCTTCTTCTATTATAAGGTTTGAGGTTTGAAAGAAGGTCTTTACTGAAAAAAACTGTCATTTTCTCATATTGTTCTCAATGAAGTGGGAAGATTCAAAATTGAACCGAACACTGTATGGTTAGAAATAAAACACAGTAGAAACACAGACTGTTTTCCTCCTGTCTATGTCCCTATCAGCTGTATCTATATCCGCCCATTCATTAAACCAACTTAAAATTAGCTAGCTAAGCATGAAGACACAAAGACCTACAGCAGTAACCTTAATAAACTCTTGTTCAGTGACACTGGTTTTTCAGTTGCTACTCACAGTGAGATGGAGCTTTAATGCCATTCAGAAAGATGCACAAGGTTATACTGATCACACTGGTGAATACTGTACACTGTCGTGTGAAGTGAAAGGCTACAGCTAATGCTGAGTTCTAGAAGGTGAATTGACAGTATGCTTGGACTTGAAGTACAATCAAAAAGAACAATATACAGAATGTTGAGGGATTTAAAATTGATTTCCCGAGATTATCTTTGGTAAGGTTTGCAGGGATGTAAAATAAATTGCACTAGACAATTGAAAATTCAAGCCTGGAAAGCAGAAAAAAAGTGAAAGATGCAGATATGCATCTCTAAGTCACATCAATTGAAGAGAAGAAATACTAATTACACAACAGGGAAGACTATTTATTCCCTACATTACTTTTTTTTCAAGATGGGAGGCTAAAGTTTGTTTTTATGATATACTATTCTGAAAATAAGCACTGATTCTGAGAATAAAAGAAATGTTTCAATAAGTAATCTTTGTGATAAAGCAATTTTTAAAATAGAAAATTGGACAAACATTTTTATTTTTTTGATTGAAATCAATATTTCAAAGAAAGTTAATCCATACATTAAAAAGGAATAAACAGTAATACATAGATATTACAAGTAATTATTGAAAGATTGAATTTCTACTTAGAGAAAATATCTCAGTAAGTTTAAATGTAAAATATTGATAAGTTGTATAACATTCAAAGTCTTGAAATATTAAGTACTTTATACATGTTTTTATACAAAAATAAATCACAGGTAGTTAGTATTTATGGTAATTTTAAGATAATTGAAATGTTCATTTAAGTATTTATATTTATGTATTTGAAAGGCAGAGTGATAGAGAGGGACAGATGCAGAGACTCTGATTATCCATTAATTGGTTCACTCCCCAAATGGCCACAACAGCCAGTTCTGGACTAGGTCAAAACCAAGAGCCAGGAGCTCCTTACTGGTCTGTCATATGCATCCAAGTGCCCAAGCTCTTGGGTCATCTTCCATCACCTTCTCAGGCACATTAACAGGAATCTGGATCAAAAGTGAAACAACCAGGACTTGACTCAGAGCTCCAGCATGAGACACTGGCTTTGCAAGCAGCAGCTTAGGCCAGCCCTTCTGGTAATTTATACAAATGAATGCTGTTACGTTTGTTAAGACTGAAATGTTGAAGAGAGAAGAGTATTTGGCCAGCAGTGAATCCACCAGTTACGATGCTCATTTTCCACATCAGGGTGCCTGGGTTCAATGCCTGCCTCCAGCTCCCATTCCAGCTTTCTGCCAATGCAGCCCCTGGGAACAGTGATGATGGCTTAGGTAACTGAATCCTTGAAAGCCATTCTGGGAGCAGCAGAGGGTTCTCAGCTCCTGGAAAGCCGTAGTCCAGCCCAGACCACTGTAGGCCATTTAGGGGAGTAAACCAGAGGACAGAAGCACTCCCTCCATCTGCCTGTTTCTCTCAGTCTTCCTGTATCTCAAATGCATACGGAAAGTTGAGGAGTGAAGCTTCAGAAAGTTTTAAGCATTTGCATGTAAAGCTGAATAATGTAAATGGAGCTCTAATGTATATACTTCCAAAAAATACTAGAGAATAACAACTCAAAATCACCTCTTTGATCAGTCAACTTAATATATACACAAGTCATCACCAAGACTTCTGAACTTGTTCAACGAGCATATTTCAACCTGTGTATCCAAAACTCTTCCTCAACCATAAGAATGAGCAAGTATGCATATTTATAACCACTCTGGTGATAGTACATATTTATAAAAGTTAATATGAATAAAACATTCTCTATTGAATTATCTATCAGCATTCAATAGAAAATTGCAAATCATTAACACTAGCACAAATTTGATCTTTCAAAATGAAAATAATGTGAATTCAAGTATTTTGTTGATATGTTCTCAAGTATACTTCTATTAATCAGAAGAATGCAGTCTTGCTTCCATATTAGTTTAAATTTGAAATCCAACAGATCGTTTACATTACCAATAAACATGGTTACAACTTTTACTATCATTTACAAGGGAAAGGAGAGCCCAGTAGGCCTCTACTATTTATGGAGACAAAAATTATTGCTTACAAGAAAAACATTACCCAGAAAAACTTTCCATTGCTGAAGAACCGAAGTGACTCCATTTTAAAAGCAAGCAGCCTCCCTTTCCCATAGCAGACCCGAGTCCTTGTAAAAGCAGGCATTCAGGCACTCTGGAGATATCAAAGCTTACCAGGGACAGCTAGCTCGGTAGACCAAGGACAGCACAGTAGAGATTGCTAAACAAAGTAACTCCCTGTACCCAGAGCTTCCATGCTGTATGTAACTCTTCTTTCCTGCTGAGGTAGCCCTTTTTCCTTTAAAAACTCTCCCAAAGACCGGGGCCTCACTCCTACCTCCACTGTGCTGGTTGGTTGGATGGGGTCCCTGTCACGGCTTGTACTCCCGAATAAACCTTGCTTTTGCAGTTCGGTGTGATCGACTCTCTGGGGGTCTCTGCAGGGATCTAACGATCTGGGCACAACATATTGTTTGGTGCCCAACACTGATATATAGTACCTAATTTGAAAAGAAAAGTGAATTTTGACATCTTCATCATCTGGTCTAGATGGTTTATATGGCTGAAAAATTATGAAATAACATTTTACAAGGGTTTGAACCACCTGCCACTGTACACACGGCTGATTTTAAAGAAGTCCCAATAAGAGAATTTTCCAACCATGCTTGTAGACTGTTAGTTAAATATTACCAACATACCTTGTAACTAAATCTTATTCTCAGGACTCTGAACCAAAACAGAACTGACAGAATCTAGGTTGTCATAGTTACTGCAGCGGAGAGGACCGGTCCTGTTACCTAGTGAACAAAACATTGCATTTATGTATACATCAGACTTTACAATTATTCGTTCAGTTTGTCATAGCTATCTCGTGCTAATATTACCCATTTGAAGGTAAATATCATTAGAGGGGCCAGGGACTAAAACTCAATGAGCAAAACACAGAAGAGCACACAGGACTCTTCCTCATCTTTTTCATCCTGATGTCAGGCACAGAACATCCAGAAAAATAGCAGAAGCCTTCTTTGGTCACAACTCATGATTTTAGGGAAGACATAACAAGAACATGCCTCTTAAGTTAGGGAGAAGGCTTTGAGTTTTAGAAGAAGTATTTTCACTTTCCTCAATAAATCAGACCCATCTGCTAGGTGACTGTCTAAAAACTGGTTGCATTATTAGATTCCTCTACTTAAAAAGCTACACTTATCCCCTCCCCTCTTTCTGGTGGTGTTGCAATCTAACTCTGTCTGGCATCTGCATAAATTCTCACTCACAGACAGGCCTTCTCCCTGTCCCGTGGGAAATTCTTTGTTTAGATAATGATCCCCACCTTCAGTCCACCTTGATGAGGGAGGCTCCTTTCTCAGCAGAGACTAATCTGGTGTATGGATGAGCTTTAAAATAAAGCTCACGTTCCAATACCCTCCCAAGCTATTCCTTAACAATTTCCACCTATATTATTCTGTCATTTCTTTCAATTATGGCTGGCAATACACCTTAGTAAATAATTATGAAGTCTCATATTGTAGACTGATTTTTTTTACTTGGATGTCTTGGGAAAGACAGTATCAGGAGATGATGAGAAAGTTTCATCGATTTATGAGGTTGGAAATTTATCCTGAAGATCATTTTAATTGCAATTGTAATGAACTTTGTGTTTTAAAAAAGTAACAAGGATATCTGTGAAAACTAAAATTCAGGTTACTTCATCCACCATACTTACTCATCTCACTCTGGGTCAAACTAGAGACATTTCTAGGACTAGAAACATAGCACATTATCCAGCTACCTGTAACTGCTCTGAACTCGCCTCCCCTCACCCTTCCTTCTGCTACAACCACACTGGTCTTTTCATTTTTCTCGAACACATTCATCAAGCTCCTGGCTTAGGATCCCTGACTTGCTGACCTTATCCTGATGCTTCTCCTCTGAACACGTCCACACTGTCACTCCCTTCAAGTCTGTGCTCCATAGCCATCTCTCAGAACAACACAGACTAACCTATTTAAAGTGAATATTCCTACTTCTTCCAAATATAATTCTGTCCTCTTATCTTGCTCTACTTTTCCCATGGTGATCAGATCCTAAGAGGCCGTATAATTTACTCTTCCCTCATGGATATCACTGATACTTCTCTGCAGAAGCTAAGCACACAAGTGCTGGGGATATGGGCTATTTGGTTCACTTAGGTGACTACAGTGCATCCTCTGTCCTTGTCTAAGATCACAGGCACTGACGAAGTGAAAGAAAATGGAAACACAAGCAAGGAAGACATCAGGGTAATCAGTGATATGAGGAAAGTCTGAAGAGCAACAATAAGATGAATCTAAAGAAGATGGATTATTTCTTTCTTTTTTTGGACAGGCAGAGTTAGACAGAGAGAGAGAGAGAGAGAGAGAGAGAAAGGTCTTCCTTTTTTCTGTTGGTTCACCCCCCAAATGGTTGCTATGGCAGGCATGCTGCGCCAATCCGAAGCCAGGAGACAAATGCTTGCTCCTGGTCTCCCACGTGGGTGCAAGGCCCAAGCACTTGGGCCATCCTCCACTGCCTTCCCAGGCCACAGCAGAGAGCTGGACTGGAAGAGGAGCAACTGGGTCAGAATCCAGCGCCCCAACCGGGACTAGAACCCAGGGTGCCGGCGCCACAGGTGAGCCACGGCACCAGCCCAAGAAGATGGATTATGAAAACAACTAGAATTGGCTCGAACAGGAAACATCAAAACTGTACAACAAAGCGGGGAACAGACAAGATGACATGAAGATATGGTGCAAAGTAGAGCCACTATGGAGGGTGCATCTGTTTCTTTACCAGTACCAGGCTGTTTTGATTATAACTGTCCTGTAGTATGTTTTTAAATCTGGTACTGTCATGCCTCCAGCTTTGTTTTTGTTGTACAAGATTGCTTTAGCTATTTGAGATCTCCTGTGCCTCCATATGAATTTCAGTATCACTTTTTTCCAGATCTGAGAAGAATGTCTTTGGTATCTTAGTTGGTATCACATTGAATCTGTAAATTGCTTTTGGGAGAATGGACATTTTGATGATATTGATTCTTCCAATCCATGAACATGGAATATTTTTCTACTTTTTGGTATCCTCTTCTATTTCTCTTTTAAGGTTTTTAAATTCTCATCGTAGAGATCTTTGACATCCTTGGTTAAGTTTATTCCAAGGTATTTTTTGTAGCTATTGAATGGGATTGATCGTAGAAGTTCTTTCTCAGCCATGGCATTACCTGTGTATACAAAGGCTGTTGATTTTTGAGCATTGATTTTGAATTCTGCTACTTTGCTCAACTCTTCTATGAGTTCCAATCGTCTCTTAGTGTAGTTCTTTGGATCCCCTAAATAAATAATCATATCAAAGAGGGATAGTTTTAATTCTTCCTTCCCATTTTGTATCCCTTTCATTTCTTTATCTTGCGTAATGGCTCTGGCTAAAACTTCCAGTACTATATTAAATAGCAATGGTGAGAGTGGGCATCCCTGTCTGGTGCCAGATCTCAGTGGAAATGTTTCCAACTTTTCCCCATTCAATAGGATGCTGGCCGTGGGTTTTTCATAAATTGATTTGATTGTGTTGAGGAATGTTCCTTCTGTACCCAATTTGCTTAGAGTTTGCATCATGAAAGGGTGTTGTATGTTATCAAATGCAGTTATGGAAATGATTAGCTATGACTTATGGAACATTTGACATGAGCTAAGTGCTGTGCTTAGTGTTTCGTTTTCTTATTTCAGTTACTGTGCACAATGACCTTCTTAGACAGTACTGATTATTGCCTGTTTCTCACTGTACAGAACGGACACTGAGAGAGAACAAGTTGCTCAGAATCACTTGCATGTTCCTTGCAGCATCTGGCCCTGCATTGTCTGGGAGCTCTATTCTGCGGCCTCTCCTATACAGTGTATGCTGCGTAATACTGATAATGGCATGCGTGTTCTATGGTCATTTCTAGTGACATCTTTCATTGAAATGCAGACAATTTTCCTTGTTCTTTTCATTAGGAAACAGAAAGCCTCCTTATAAGTAGCACGTTTGCAAAAGCTTCTCCATTTGCATCAAGCTAGATCTCTTAAACAGAATGATTGAAAAGAGAACTTTTTGAGCTAATTAATCTCAAAGGTATTTATTCCTATGTTATACTTGTCATGCTCATTATGAACGACTTTTTTGTCCTCTAAGTTTTGATCCCCATGTGTGAGCTGTGTCTATGGACAAACTGGATTAGTAAGACTGGAGATTAGTTTAGGAATTGCAAGAAAATTTGTTGGAGTGTGTATGCCTTGGATTCTCTCTGGGATAGTAGTCTGAGGAGAAACCAGTCCTAAATGTATCACATACATGTAACATTCAACCTCCTTTTCACACACAAGTACGTGGAAAATCATTCAGATCTACTTATCCAATATTTCAAAAATGAAGCCAATTCTTGCTAAATCATTATATGAAGAAGAAAATTAAAGTTTTCTATAACATTACCTCTTTGTGGAAATTAGTGATACTACTACTTAGCAATCATCAAAATGTCCATACAACCCAAAACTATTTATAAATTCCATGCAATCCCAATCAAAATGCCAATGACATTCTTCTCAGATCTAGAAAAAATTATGCTAAAATTCATATGGAAAACACAAGAAGAGACTCCCAAATAGCTAAAGCAATCTTAAACAGCAAAAACAAAGCCAGGGGGCCGGCACTGTGCCACAGTGGGAAGACCTACAGGAAATTCCTGGCTCCTGGCTTTGGATGGGCGCAGCTCTCGCCATTGTGACCAATTGGGGAATGAACCAGAGGATGGAAGACATCTCTCTCTCTCTCTCTCTCTCTCTCTCTCTGCCTCTCCTTCTCTCTCTGTGTAACTCTGACTTTCAAATAAATAAATAAATCTTTAAAAAAAAGAGAGCCATTCAAACAGGAGTGAGGTGGAATCTCATTGTGGTTTGATTTGCATTTTCCTGAGCCACCCCACTTTTAAAAAAGATTCATATATTTATTTGAAAGTGTTAACAGAGAAAGGAAGAGACAGAGAAAGAGAGATCATCCATCTGCTAGCTCACTCCCCAGTTGACCATACTAGCCAAGATCAGGCCAGGCCAAAGCCAGGCGCCAGGAGCTTCATCTGATCTCCCATGTTGGTAGCAGGGGCTCAAACATTTGGTCCATCTTCTGCTGCTTTTCCTACACCATTAGCAGGAAGCTGGATCAGAAGTGGCACAGCAGGAAATGAACCTGAAACTGTGTCCATGTGGGATGCTGGTGTTACAGATGGTGGCTTTACCCACTACACCACAATGCCACTCCCCACCCCCTGCCAAGTTCCCTCTTTAAAAAAATAAGTAAGCAATCATTAGTGATAACATCCTACCAGAAATACCAGATCTCTATAAATATTATATAACTTCTGGAATATCTACATCAATAACTCATTTATCCATATGTAAATTAAAACAGAGCTTTTTTCTTAGACAGGCAGAGTGGACAGTGAGAGAGAGAGAGACAGAGAGAAAGGTCTTCCTTTGCCGTTGGTTCACCCTCCAATGGCTGCCGCAGTCGACGCACTGTGGCCGGCACACTCACTGATCTGAAGGCAGGAGCCAGGTGCTTCTCCTGGTCTCCCATGGGGTGCAGGGCCCAAGCACTTGGGCCATCCTCCACTGCACTCCCTGGCCACAGCATATTCGACAAAGGACCTAAAACCAACCCCTGGAACAAGGACAGCCTCTTCAACAAAGGGTGCTGGGAAAACTGGAAGTCCACATGTCGCAGTATGAAGCAAGACCCCTACCTTACACCT